GATTATCTTCTGTGTCTGTATTAATTGGTTTCCCTTTTCTTTGTTGAAGAGGGTCTGTGCAATCCTTCTGCCTAGTCCGCCATCTTGCCCCACCTCCCCTATTTTGTTTTGACATCTATGGTCCATCTCAAATTAATTTTGGTGTCTACAGTAAGGTAGGGGTTCTATTTTTTTCCCACACATATACCCAGTTGTTCCAGAACAATTTGTCAAAAATATTTTCTTTCCCATTGAATTGCCTTGGTGCCTAGAATGACCTTTTAAAATGTCAGATCGTGTCACTCTTATTATGTTCAGTGGTTTCCCACCTCAGAATTAAGGCCTCCAAAAATAATCTATTAAATTTCTATAAGGAGCCCTGGTAGCACAACAGTTAAGCACTTGGGTGCTAACCAAAAGGTTGGAAGTTTGAACCCACTCATTAGTTTCGTGGGACAGAGACTTGTCGATTTTTGTCAGTAAAGATTAGAAATCATAAAGGTTACAGCCAAGAAAACCCTATGCGGCACTTCTCTGTCACAGGGGGGGGTCACAATGAGTTGTATCAACAGCACACAAGGTTCTAGATGATGCGGAAGCAGTTTTCCAACCTGACCTCCTCTATTTACTGGCTTCTAAACACACTGACCTCCTTGGTATTCTTCCATCTTGCCAGACACACCCCAGCTCAGGGCCTTTGGATGGAATGTTCCTCCCCCAGATGTGTGCATAGTTCACTCCTTCACTTTCTTTCCAATCTTCTCAGTGATGCTCTCCTTGGATACCCTAAAATTTTTGCATCTCCTACACCCTGAACTTCCTTTCTAACATCTGAGACAATGCCTGGCCCATTGCAAAAAAAAAAAAAAAAAAAACAACCACACCCAAACTCTCTCCGTAGAGTAGGAGCTCACTCATAGCGACCCCTTGGGTTTCCAAGGCAGTATCACTATGGAAGTAGATTGCCCAATCTTCATTCCAAGGAGTGGCTGGTGGGTTTGAACTCTGGTTAGCAGTCAAATGCTTTAGGCACTATTTAAGCACTAGGTAAATTTATAAAATGAGTAATATTGGGGCCCAGAATGATGAAGTTATTTATCCAAGCAGTCCCAAGAGGTTGGCTTCATTATTGAGTGGTGCTCAGGCTCAGGACAGGCACAGAGGTGCAGTGAACCTAGTCCACCACTCCCGCCACCTTCTGTTTGCAGGTCTGGCCTTGGCACCTTGGCCCATAATAGTGCACTGGGCTTCTGTGGAAGCCCTGGTGGTGCAGTGGTTAAAGTGCTTGGCTGTTAACAAAGGTCGGTGGTTTGAACCCACCTCCTGCTCCATGGGAAAAAGATGTGGCAGTCTACTTCTATAATGATTACAGCCTTGAAAATACTATGGGGCGGTTCTACTCTGTCCTGTAGGGTTGCTATGAGTCAGAATCTGGGGCTGCAGTGGGGCATGGCCAGTGTGTCAACAACACCCCTCAGTGGCTAGGATGGGGAAGAACAGGCAAAAGCCTGGCTTGAAGCTGAGGGGTGTATGCGTGGGGATCTAGTTGGGTTCTTGGTTCCCAGTCTCTCTCCTCACAGAAGACACAGTACAGGGATGGCCATAAGAGATCTTTATTATACCAGAAGGGACAGGCAGTGGGGCAGTGCAGCATCCAAGCCCCAGGCCAGACATGCAGCACCCACATGCAGAACGGCTACACAGGCTGGGGTAGAGCCAGGGGTGGGGGACTAGGACCGAAGGTTACCCACAGCACTCCTACCAGGATGCTTGGGCCCTGAGCTCTTCTGCCTCCACTGGAGCAAGGAGGCAGAAGATTGGGCAACTTCCCCATTGCTGGAACCCAATCATTTGGCCAGAAAGAAAGATGGTACAGGGGGCATGGGGCCTGGCCAATCTGCAGCACTTGGTTCCACACATAGCCTTGTCTGCTGCAAGGGCCCGATACTCAAGGCAGTGCAACCCCAGCACTACATACTTTCCTGTCCCCATTGGCCTAGACCCTGATCTCAGAAAGGCTTAGAGTTGGGGCCAAGCCTCTCCCCATCTAGCAGGGACATACCCGTGAAAGGGGCTTTCCTGAGCATAAGCAGGGGCCTCCAAAGGCAGCAGTGAACTGAAGGAGCTGCTACAGACAGGAGGCCTTGCCTCTGTGCCTCTAGGGTGGGGTATGAGATCAAGGCTGGGGCTGGAGGAGGGGGAAGCAAAGAGTGGCCCTGGGCCCTGAAGCTATGGCTACTCAGGCCTAGAGGGGCATGAGTAGATGAGGCTGGGGTTCCCTGGGGCAGGGCTTAGGGCTGGGAAGACCAGGCCAGGCTCAGGGAGAGTGGCTGTCCTACCCAGAACCCGGACCCATGCTGAACTCTGGCCCAGGCCACAGGGAGGACCGACAGATGCACGGAGAACTTCAAGGCACCAGGATTCCGAGGAGCAGCAGGGCCACCCCCGACAGACAGACAGTGAATATAATAAACATCTTCAGCTTAAACTATATGATGTGTGTAGGGGCTGGGAGGGAAGAGAAAGGGAAAGAAAAAGACAGACAGACACAGGAAGAGACATACAGGGTCATGAGGGTAAAAGAGACAACCAGATGAATGTGGCAGTGAAAGTGGGTATACGGGGTTGTGGAAAGGAAGAGGAGGGGGACATAAAGACACAGGAGAGAAGGGCAGACAGCCAGAGATGGCTTGAACGTGCAGCACTTCTGGTCCCTACAAAATAAGGCACCAGAGTCAGTAACGTCCCATTGTCCCTGTGGTATTTAACCCGGTGGTGGAGGGAAGAGCAGGCAGCTGCTGAAGGGTGTGGGCCTGCTGGGTCTCACACCTGTGCACCAGTGGCCTTCTTGATCAGGGGTATCTGCAAGGAGGGGAGATCCCAGTGAGCTCCTGGCTCTGGGCCCCAGGACTGCTCACCTGGGCTAATCCCATGGGCTGCCCAGGCCACCCCATACTCCAACGGGGTACACACCTTAGAGAGGTCCACACCTGTGAGGGCGTGCACAGAGGCGGGCAGCTCGGCCAGCAGTCGGCTCACCTCTGTCGTTACCTTGCTGTTGTCCCCACTGAGGACCACAATCTCATCGACTTTGGTCAGTGGGGAGGCGATTTTGGCAGCAATCTAGGAGGTGGGTGGGAGGAGAGCCTGGTTAGCGCTCTGTGGCCACTGGCTGTGTCAAACATCTGCTCTCTCCCTCCCTCCCTACCTCACCAAATGCCAAAGCAGCCTGGAGTAGCCCTTATTTGCAAGCCAGTGGGCCAGGGATAAGCCTACATCTGTTGCCTAGGCCCCGCCCCTTGGCTGAGTATTCTCCCCATTTAACCCTTCCAGCCAGCCTGTTGTTGTGGGTTACTGACAAATTTGAGAAGTTCTGGCATTCGCCCAGCTAGTCAAGGTAGGAGATGTCTCTGGCCTTGCAGTCTCCACTGGTCAGACCACTTGGGTCCCAGCCCAACATGGGAGCCTCACCTGGGGCAGGGCCTCCAGCACCAAGGCCATCTTGGCTGCATCCCCATACTTCTGGTAGGCCTCAGCCTTGAGCTTCATTCGCTCAGCCTCTGCCTTGCCCATTGCCTCGATGACCGCGGCCTCTGCCTCCCCAATTTTGCGGATCTTCTCAGCCTCTGCCTGCGCCAAAAGGACCTGCTTCACCCTGAGGGAGCCCAGGCAGGTGGGATCAGTGAGAGGTGTCAGGACCCCTACCCCTTGCCTGGGAGCTGGTAAACTCTCAAGCCCTCTGCTCTGGCAGGTGTTGGGAATTAGGGAGAGACATTTAAAGGGGGCTTTTTGGCTCTAGCCAAAGAGAGGCCACTAGCTACCAGCTGCAAGTGGCAGAGAGGATTAACCAGGGTCCCCTGTGCCAAGTGCCACGGCAGGCACTTGAATCTCCTTTATCTAGTCAAGTCTTCCACAGTCCTGTGGGGAAGGTGGCAATGTCCCCACTTCAACATAAGTAAACAGGCTTTGGGGAGAAATCACTTCTAAGCTGTGGTCTGGATAGCAGAGGAAGTACCCTGTCAGCAGAAGACGCTACAGGACCCTGCCTGACCCGGTCTATTGCACGCAGGGCAGCACTCACTTTTCACCCTCAGCAATCTGCTGTATGCGGTGGGCCTCGGCCTCAGCTGGACGGCGTACGGTGGCAATGAGCTCCTTGTCCGTGCGCAGGATCTCCTGCGCCTCCACTGCGATCTGTTTCTTGCGCTGCACGACCTCAATCTCGATTTCCTCCTGCCGGATCTTCTGCTGCTCACGTGCCCCTTGCAGCTCATAGGCCAGCTGGGCCTCAGCTGTCTGTGGAAGGAGTATGGTCGGTATGTCAGAGGCTGGACACCAAGTCTTGGGCCCTGAGCCCTAGCCTGGGATGCCCCACAGCCTCTCACCTTGATGTTGACCTCCTCACTGAAGGCTGATTTTTGCAGCTCAAAGGCTCGCTTAGAGTCAGCTATCTTGGTGTCTGCCATGAACTTCACGTCTAGCATCTCCTTCTTACATTCGGCTTCCTGGGAGGTGGAGGGGCAGGTGCTGAAGGTCCCCTGAGGGGACATGGTCCCACCAGCCCTGAGCTCCCTTTCCCTGGGGTGGGGGAGAAAATCTTATGTACCCGGATGCCCGCGTCCCGCTCAGCCTCGGCCACACCGATGTCAGCATCTCTCTGCACCACAGCAGTCTGTGTCTTGCCCAAGGAGCTCAGATAGTCCACTTTGTCATACACATCCTGGGGAGGGAGGGTGAGTCATCTCTGAGAACAGTCACAGGCACAGAGGTGTCCCTCCCGCCAAGTGCTCATCTCCCAGACAGGTATGAGGGGATGTGGCCTTCTCGTCATGTCGCACCTTGATGGTGAAGCTGAGGATTTCGATGCCCATACGGCCGACATCAGGGGCTGCCACTTCCCGCACCAGCTTGGCAAACTGGTCTCGGTCCTGATATATCTGCTCCACAGTCAGGGTGCCTAGGGGCAGAGGGATCATGGGCTGGCTCCTCAGGGGCCTAGCCAATGGAGAAGGGAAGAGGCATGCAACGAGAGGTCTGGGTGTGCAGACTCGGCCAGGCCTTGCTGGGGTTTCTTGTTAACAGTGTTCCACACTCAGCCTCCTTCTGCAGAGTCCAGGCTGGATGAGGGAGACACCCAGGCAGGGCCAGGTTTCTGAGCAGACTGGCATGTCCCCTCTCCCACCCACCCTTACCTTCACTCAGGTCACCGGAGTATCGAAGTGGCGCACTTGAGGGAAAATGTTCCAGCTTTTTAGCCTGAAACCTTGGCGGGTCTGACAGGCCCCTGACCCTACCCAGTACTTCCCCCGCTGTCCCCCTTTACCCTACCTCCCTGAGCCCTGGGTTGGCTCAGAGGGTCAATGGCCCTGTGTGGTTCCTGGGAGGCAGCAGTGGGGTCTCTGGGCGGGGGCAGGGCCTCACCGAGGATGGAGCGTAGGTGTCCCTCCAGGGTCTGCAGGACCACGTTCTTGATGTCCTGCACGTTCTTGCCCAGGAACTGCTCGCAGGCCACGGCTAAGAGCTCCTTTTCTGTCATGATCTTTACCTGCCGGTGGGTGGTCACAGAAGAGCCTGAGCCAGGCTGGTGGGCAGAAGGAGGCCCCAAACCCAGAGGTGTGGTAGTGGTAGCTATGCCCCATCTCCTTCTTCAGACCTGGAGGCCCCAGGGGGTGGGCAGGAGTTGGTCTGAGCCCCCGGGGGGAGGCAGCATTTTAAGGAATTGTCCAGATACTAAGATACTTCACCTCCTCTGGCAGCCCCTGGCCCAGATGTGGCCCCTCTCCTGGGCAATTGGGGCTCATTTCCCACCCCTTGAGCCCACTGTTTCCTCACTAGCCAATGCTTCCCCTGCAGGTACCCTAGGGGTATCCCATGTGGGGGAGATCTTCAGGCTTGAGGGGCAGAGACTGTGAAAAGGAGAAATGAACAAAAGGGACACAGACAGACAGACTGGGAAAGCAGGTCTAGACAGGGCAGGAGACGGGTCCAGGGGGATGCCTCTGAGGGCAGGCATCCTCCTCCCTTTCCTTCCTGAAGTTCCCATCCAACAGCCCCCTTAGTGGAGACCTACAACATAGTTAACCCTCTCTTTTCTGTGAAGTCAAGATGGAGTAGGGCAGGGCAGGGCAGGAAGCCCCTCACCCCTACACACAAGTGGGGATTTTAAATCTCTGACTCTCAGAGCCCAGAGCTTCCTTGCTTTACCTTTTCCTCCCTGGGCCCTACCCTTCCACCACCCTACCCAGAGAACAGGGAAGGCCTGGGTTCTAGGGCTTGGCATTTCCAACACCTGAAAAGAATGTGGGGAAGGGTTAGTGAGACAGGAGCCCTCAGCACTGGCTTTGTCCCTCGCGGGCCCGCTGAGGAGAGAAGGGGTGTCTGTTAGTCCTTTTGAGTGGCCAAGGGGCCGAGTGAGCATGTTCCAGTGGTGATGACCCTCTCCTGGGATGCAGGGCAGGGGCAGGGTGCTGGAGAGAGACTGCCTCTGGCTGCTGTCCTCTCCTCCTCCCCCCAAACCCCAGCACGGGGACGAGGCAGCTCAACGGACATGCGAGGGGCTGCTGAGTTACTATACCTGGGCGACACCCGTCACAGTTAAAGCTACCCCCTCGGCCGTCTCTACGTCCTCGCAGCGGGGCTGCAACGTCATAATCTCTAGGGAAATCCTGCCAAGAAACGCAAAACAGGGGCATGGGTCTGGGGGCCCAGGGCCTGGGGGTGTGAGGAGAGTCCAGTACCTCACTGCTCCAGCTGGGAAAGGCCAAGGATCCTGTTGAGGAGGAGGTTGGGGCGGACTCCCCAAGAGATTTTACAGCAGATTAGTCTGGGAGTGTGTCAGAAGGCTGTAGGTGGGAGGGCAGGGCAGGGCGAGTTCAGGTAGCCCCAGGAAAGAAGTGTGAGCGTGCCACAGATGGGCACACATTGTCTTTGCTCAAATCAGCCTGGCCTGAATGACAGGGAAGAGGAAGTGGACAAGAGGTGGTTGGAAGTGTTATGGATTAAATTGTGTCCCCCAAAAATATATGTTGTAAATTGCAACATATAGTCAAATAGGTGATAATCCTATTTGGGAATGAATAGGTTGTCTTTGTTATGTTAATGAGACAGGATTATTAGTGTATGGTGCATTTTGAGTCAATTTATTTAGCGATATAAAAGAGATTAAATTCAAGCTAGCAAGCAGAGATGCAGAGGAGAGAGATGCTGAGCCATATGAAGATCTCCTAGAAAGAAAAGCAGAAAGAGACAAGGACCTTCCTCCAAGCCAACAGAGAAAGACCTTCCCTAGACCAGGACCCTGAATTTGGACGTCTAGCCTCCTAAACTGTGAGAAAATAAAATTTGTTTGTTAAAGTCAATCATTTGTAGTATTTCTGTTATAGAACCACTGGATGACTAAGATAGAATTTGGTACCAGAAGAGTAGGGTGCTGTTCTAACAGATAACTAAAATGTGGAAGTTGTTTTGGAATTGGGGAGAGGCTAGAAGAGTTTTAATGTACTCAATAGTAAAAGCCTAGATTGCTTTGAAGAAACTGTTGGTAGAATTATGGACATCAAAAGCAATTATGGTGAGGGCTCAGAAGGAAGAAGAGCTATAGAGAAAGGCTCTACTGTTTTAGAGAATATGTATGGCAACAGCAACAGGATGCTGCTAGTGATAGTAATGTGGATGTTAAATGTGTTTCTGGTGATGCTTTAAAAGAACACGATGAACATGTGATTAGACAATGGAGGAAGAGCAATGCTTTTTATGCAGTGGCAAAGAATTTGCCTGAATTATGTTCAAATGTTTGGTGGAAGGTAGAGTTCATAAGTGATGAACTTGGATATCTGGCTGAGGAGATTTCTAAACAAGATCTTAAGGGGGTCATGTGGTTTCTCCTTGCCGCTTATAGTAAGATGTGAAAGAGATGGACTTAAAAATGGACTGTGTAAAACAAAACTTAAAAATTTGAAAAATTCTGTTGTACAAGTTAAGGATATATGTTCTAGAATGTTCACCAAGGACATGGCTACACAATCTTTTGTTAAAGAGATTAAGCCTGTGACTGATGGATCTAACTAAGTAACACAGCAGAAAACCCATCAGGTTAGACTGAAGGGGACAGAGAAAGAACTAAAGGAAAGAACAGCTGTCTGCCTCTTGGAATTCTACTGGCAGGAAACAGGACAAGGGAGCTTTATCTATTGTCCTCCAAGAAAAGAGAAGGCTCATCCTTGGAGCAGCTCAAAGATCGGCAGAATAGTTGGAAGGAACATGGGAAGTAGGGCCTTCTCTTTCAAAGGGAGGGGCCACAGCCTTCTCCTAGATTTCAAAGAGCAAGATCTTTGCCAACTAGGTTCTGGAATGTGGGGATGCCATTAAGATGTGCCAGGGGGGCACGACCACTATCCAAAGCTGAGGGGGAAGGGCTGCCATGCTTGAGGGGCAGAAAAACAGGGCCTGCTAGGACTAGGGCCAAGGAAGTGGGGTTGCTACCAGACAGATTAGGAGAATGAGGCTACCTAAAGCCAAGGGAGCAGAGTTAGCAACCCAAAGGGCCTGGAAGGTGGAGCTGAAGCATAGGACTGAGGAGCCTCCACCCCAAATCCAGAGGCTGTGGCCAACACCCAGAGTCTGGAGGGCAAAGCCATTGCTCAGATGGTCTCAGAGAACAGAGACTTACTTTCAAGCCTTGAGAGTTAATGTAAATTGTTCTGCTAGGGTTTGGACTTGCTTGGTGCCCCTTATCCGTCTTTCCCTCCAATTTCTCCCATTTGTAATGGAAATGTCTACCTTGTGTCTGTTCCACCACTGTACTTTGGAAACAGATAACTTGTACTCTAGATTACACAAGTTCACAGATGAAAAGGAATTTTTGCCCTAGGATGGAATATATCTAAAGTCCCAACCATATTTGATTTAGCTGACTCAGAAAATGAAATTTTGGACTTAAGACTTTTAGAATGATGTGATGGGATGAATGTGTTTTGCATGTGACAAGGACATGAATTTTGGGGGGGCCAAAGGGTAGAATGTTACGGATTGAACTGTGTGCCCCCAAAATTATGTGTTGTAAACCCTAACGTCTATACTTGTGGCTATAATCCCATTTGGGAATGGGTTGTCTTTGCTGTATTAACTAAGCAGGATTAGTGTACTGTGTATCTTGAGTCAATCTCTTTTGAGATATAAAATAGATTAAACACGCCAGCGGAAGAGAGATGGTGAAAGAGAGATGCCAAGCTACATGAAAACTATCCAGGAGCAGATGCTCAAAAGAGACAAAGACCTTCCTCCAGAGACAAGAGACAAAGCCTCCCCCTAGAACTACCTGAATTTGGACTTCTGGATTCCTAAACTGTGAGAAGATAAATTTGTTTGTTAAAGCCACCTACTTGTGGTATTTTTGTTATAGTAGCACTAGATTACTGAAACAGGGGTGGTCTAGGGGCTGGTAGATTAGGGAAGAGTCTTGGTGCTGTGTGTATATCCTGGGGTAACAAGGAGGCATTGGCTGTGCTGCATACTCTGGCCATGGGTGCTGTCTGAACACCCCCCAGGGCCCTCACTCATACCCTGGATATCGCAGGAAGCTGCCTACAAAGCTCTGCCTGGTAGCTTGGCATTTTAGGATTACACCTACTGCTGGGCCGAGATGGAAGCTGTCCTGCACCTACTTGCTTCCAAGGAAGCCCTGCCTGGCCCTCCACTGGGCAACAGGCTCTGACTTGAAGCCTACCCTCTAGTGTTGGGCCCAGGCAGAGCATGCGGTGTACGTAAGCTGGGGACACCCCAGATTCTCCTGACCAAGGAATTTGAACCCTCAGAAAGAGCTTTTCTATCCAGATAATTAACTCCTCCAGGATCCACAATCACCCTAGCTTAATAAGAACCAGGATGTTTATAGATGTTTCAAGTAGTGTAATGGCTTGTGGGTGGGTGGGTGGGTAGGGCTGCTTCACATGGGGTATCAAGGGAGGCCAAGGCAGTACCCATCCCACAAAATGCTCCAGAGTTTCTCCTCAGGCCTCTGCACTGAAACGTGCCCTCTCACAGCTACTGGGGCTGATTAGAGGGGATGGTCTTCTTCCTGGTTAGAGATGGCAGCATGGGTGAAGCGGTAGGGGAGGATTTTTGCCTGAGGAAGCTGAGGGGGCTCTTTAGTGCAGAAGGCGGGGTTAGGTTGAGATGGTAGTTAGGTCTCTTTTAGCCTGGGATCCACTGGAATGCAGGCTCCAAGGGGACAAGGATGTTTTCACATTCATGGCCGCATCCCCAGTGCCTGCAACTGAGAAGGTGCTCAGTAAAGAGCTGACGAATGCAGCAATGAAAATGGGAACCTGCACATTAGAGAGACATCACTTAGAGTTACTTAACACCCTGAACTGGGAATGGATTTCACCAGCCATGGCTGGACGGGAATGAAGAGCAAGATACAAGGTTCATCTGCTTTTCAAAGTAAGAGGGTATTAATAAAGCTCGGGTATCTCTAGGACTTCTTTTCCCAAAATCCCAAATGCCCTCATATCATCTGATTTGTCTTTCCAGTATCCCTACAAGGCAGAGAAATTATGTGATTCTCCCCATTTCAGGGATGAGAAAACTGAGGCCCAGTCACTAGCCTTTCCCCTCAGGCCTGTCATGGAGATTATTCCCAGAAGCTGTGGAGGAGCCTTGGGACTGGGTGAACAGAGCTCTCTGTGGGACCCATCTCCTGGTCTTACAAAGAGTAGGACTGGGTCCTGATACTGGGCCCAGAAAAGGGACTAGCAAGGGGTCCAAAGTACCTGTGCCAAGGTGGATCAGAACCTCCGTAGGGGTGGATAGAACTGATCCCGCCCCACCTGGACAATCAGCTCTGTTATATAAGGGCCTTGTCTTCTGTATCTGTTCTGCCTCAATTTGCTCCTAATTTAAACATTGAGGGAGAGCCACTAGTGGACTTGGCAGAGCTTCCAGAATCCCTTGCTTTCCCCACACATGGTCCCAAGGGATGAGGATGAGGGATCTGGGTCTACAGGAATCCATCCTGGCTGTGGCCACCTTTGGACCCAGAGCAGCACAGGGGCGGGGCGGAGGGAGGGAAGCACCTGCTCAGGAGGAAGTCTCTCCGGCTCCTGCCTGCCAGGCCCCGATGGGGCAGGAAGAGAGAAGGTTAGACACAGAGGAGGAAGCAGGTGGGTTATTACCTGTGCAACCCCTGTTACGAATAGCGGGACCCCCTCCGACGTCTCAATATTCTCACAGCGACACAGGATGGTCATAACCTCCAGAGACAGTCTGAGGAGCAGCCAGGGGGTAGGGAGAGGTAGGGACAGGAAGGGGTAGGAGGGGACACAGCAAACACACAGTTACCAGACAAGCACTGATGCCTGAGGCCTGAGGATGGGCAGGGGTGCTCTCCATACTTCAACCCCCCTCTTCCAGCTTAGCCTAGGGTTGTAGGGGTACAGAAGCACCCTCTTGCTGGCCTGAGGCCCAGAATCTCTTCTCTTGCCTTAATGCCCTTCTAATGAGGAGGAGCTGCTGGGCTGAGGGAGAGGCCTGTGTTCAAGATACCAGGGTTGGCCACCTAACTTTCCTAGAAGATTCCTGGCACAATCTCAGGGGCTTGGCCTCAGATCCACCCTCCACATACAGGCAAGCCTGCATATCCTTGCATTGGGAGGGAGCAAAGCCATTCTGGGGCTTACTGAGTCACAGCAAATACTGAATCCTGCTAGGAGCATAAACCCTCAAGGTCTGTGCTACATAGCACTAAGAAGGCAATTTAATGCCAGAAAACCCCAAAGAAAACTACTGGATTTTTAAAATTTTAGTGGTGGGTCAACGAAGTCAGGGGGAGAAAGTCTGCTGCTGCCAGAATATTCACAGGGACAACTGGGAGGTGACGAAGTAATTTACTTTGACATTTCCAAAGTTGGGCCTAGGCAGAGGAGAGCCCTGGCAAGGTGAACAAGGTGCCTGGAAGCTACTTGACCCACCCTGGCTGGGCCTCCCTAGGACAGCATGTGTGCGCATGGAGGGTGGTGGTCCAGGCAGAGACGAGGCTGTGCACAGCATGGAAGGTTTCCTTAAACAAGATAGAGGACAGAGGCTGAGGCTGAAGGGGCAGAAGCAGGTGGATTGGGGAGGGGGGAGGAGGGCTGAGGAGCAATGGCAATGTGGAACCCCCACCTCTACTCTGGGAGGGGCCCCTCTCACAACACTAGCCCTGGGGGCTCTGGCCATGCAGACATGCAAAGGTTGCTTTCATTCGAGCCCCTAAACACTAGCACCCTTGGGCCTGAGAGGACTTGTCACCTGGCTTAGACAGAAACCCACAAGCTCTCTTCTGGGGAAGGAGGAGAGAGGGAAGTGGTAGAGAGGCAGGGAGGGAAAGGGGAGGGAAGGAAGATAGGAGGCTGCAGCTCAGATGCCAGAGGTGGAGGAATAGCTCAGGTAGGGAAGAGAGTATTGCCCACATCAGGGCCTTGTGACAGTACAGGATATGGCAGCAAAGTGCAGCAGGAGGAACTTCACGGAGCCTGGAGGAAGAATGGCTGACATCAAGGGTGGGTGACATGTGGGCTGACTCAAAAGGGAGGCTGAGAATACAGGCTAGGCTAGAAGCCTCTACAATGACCTGAGAGGCTCCTGTCAGCCTGGGACATGAAGGCCCAAGCCTGGGGATCATGGTCCAGATGTCCCCCAAGCAGGATAGGGGTGGTGGAAGGGGCTGACCCCCATAAAAGAGCCCAAGAAGGGTAAGAGCTACAGGCTCAGACCACCCAGTGAGGCAGGCTGGAGGAAAGATACTGAAGCTGGGTGCGAGATCATTTGCTAGGTTGAGGTACAAAGCCCTCCCGTCTCCCCTCCCAAGCCCACTGTCAGAGAGGCTTGGTGGGACCTCCCTCTTGGCCTGAGGTTCTGCTCCCTGGAGCATGAAGGGGGCATGTAGGGGACACTGAGAAAAGCCTGTGGAGGTGTTGGTTCTAGGATGTTCCATGGTGCACAGGCCTTTGGCCCAGCTGAAAGTCGAGGTGCTTGGTCCGGGTATGTTGACAAGATAATTCTGTTGTTCTGGGGACTGCCTGAAGGGTAGGGCGGGGCTGCAGTGTCTTCCCACAGGCCACAGGCTCACTGAGGAGTGCCTAAGTCCTGAGAAGATGCTGTGGCCTGTACTGATTTCTCTGTGATACTTTTGGCCTCGTAACAGAAGAGTCTCTTAGGATCCTCAACGCAGGCAGGAGAGATGGCAGAGTGGAGGGTGTTACTGGGAGATCAGTGACATGCTTCCTAACCCCCTGACCCCAGCAGATGCCCTCAGCCCCTGGGAGGCCTCAGGCAAGCTCAGTAAAGATGGGCTGCTCTCTGATGACTGGTAGGGGTTTGGGGCAGAGGGGACTTTCCATTGGAATCTCCACTGCTTCCCCTTTGGGGTGACAGCCTCCCTTAGCAACCTATACCTTCACAACCCTGTTGTCCTATTGGCTAGGTCCAGGCCTGGATGAATCTGGGTTCCTCAGATCCCTCAGACTCAGATGGTGAAGTGGCCGACATGCCTCATCTCCTCCAGGGTGGGCAGTGAGGGCAGCAGGAGAGGCCCAATCCAAGCCCAGAACTTCCCTGGGCTTAGGGGGAGCTAGCAGGGTGAGCCTAAGGTTGGCCCTCTGGGGAGCTGAAATCTCCCATCCTCTATTAAGTGTTTCCAGACTGATACAGGAGGCCCAGGGCTGCCTCAAGGGCAGTAACAACATAGGAGAGGCAGGCCTGTTTTGTCTGGCCCCAGCACCACTCCCTCAGATCCCCACCCCTCATCCCTAAACTGATCACAGACCCACTTCAGGCTGGGCCTTCATTCTCTGCCACTGATCCTCTGCCTGCTTTTTGCCCATATTACTTATCTGAATGGTCCCAGGGCTGCAAAGCAATTCCTATTCAAACAAGGTGTAAAATTAAGGCTTCTTGAATAACCTTGAGGTAGAATCAGGAAATTGGGATCCTGCCTAAGTATGGCCCTGAAGACCCTGTGACAAAAGTGATGCCAGCCTCCAGGGGAAAAGAACATCCATTAAGGGGGTGGTGCCCACGGACAGAACTTCCTGATGCACCCCTTCTGCATCCCTGAGCAACCCATTTTACCCACTTCTCAGGAGGCTCCCACCCCCCAGGGTGGAACATGACAAACGGTCAACGCTCTAGCTGACCTGTGGGGGGAAGTGGGGGAATACTGGAAAGCTCTTTCTCCCCTGCCCACCAAGGTGACAGGTTCCCAAGCCACCAGGCCCTTACCTCTGTGTGTCGGAGATACACCACCAGGCCCAGGCCCAGCCGCCAAACACGTACTGTTTATAGTCGGAACCACAACAGCCCCCTGGGGAGCAAAGCAAACCACTGCTGGTCAGTCAGCTCTTGGGCTACCCTCCATCCATCTGACAGCAAGTTTGGACTTTGCCCTGCTCTGAGAGTTGACAATTTCTACCGCTGGGTGTCAGGGGCTGAGGCATATATCAAAGGGAGACACAATCTCCCTGCCCTTAAGCAGTCTTAGATCTAGTTTGGGACACAGGAAATGTGCATAAAAAGAGGGAATAACATCTAATGAGTGGTTCAGAATATTAATGCTTCCGAAAAATAGAACAGGTTATTGGTCAGGAAAAGCTCCCATTTTCCACTTAAAAACCACCAGCTGCCATCAACTTGATTCCGACTCACGGCAACCCCACGTGTGTCAGAGTAGAACTGTACTCCACAGGGGTTTTCGATGGCTAATACTTTGGAAGAAGATCATCAGGCATTTCTTCCACAGCACCTCTGAGTAGAGTTAGTAGCTGAGTGCATTAACTGCTTACACCATCCGGGGACTCAAGTTTTCATTCAACTATTCACTAATTCGTTCAACAAACAAGCAGAGTATTTATTTTCATGTACTAGGGATACACTTCCTTTCTTGAAGGAAGTGGGACTAGGAGGTGGGAACTTTTCCTGAGATGACTGTAATACTATGTGGTTCACCTGTCATCAAGGTGCATGCAGAGAGGAAAGGCTGAGGGTGAAACAGCCCTGGGAGGCTGGTGGGAAGAGGAGGTCTCTGAGCCAAGTTAGGGCATCTCAGGGAAGCTGAGCCTCTACCCCTGGGGTTTTTAGAGGGACTTTGTTCCTCCTAAGAAGAACTGGTGGCACAGTCATTAAAGTGCTCAGTTGCTAACTGAAAGGTTGGTGGTTCGAATCTACAAGCTGCTCTGTGGTAGAAAGCTGTGGCAGTCTGCTTCCGTAAAGATTATAGCCTTGGAAACCCTCTGGGGCAGTTCTACTCTGTCCTATAGGATCACTACGAGTCAGAACTGACTTGATGGCAATGGGTTTGGGTTTTTTTTTTTGTTGTTGTTGGTCCTCTTGTGGGAAGGGGTAGAGAAGGAAAGGCTTCAAAATAAAAACCAACTGGTGGTACCAATAGGAGACGTGAAGAGAAAGGGAAAAAGTCTAAAATTTGGAAGTGGTTCCTGAAAACTTTTTATCAGCAAAGTAGAATGTCTAAATCAGCTATGACCCAGATCCATGTTGTGAACCTGTTTGTCATAGTTTCTATACAGAAACGAGATACATCAATTCCTGAAATTCTTGTACTAGATCCTCCCACTAATGCCTAAGTTAGCCATCAAGTTCAGAAAAAAAAAAATTAGTAGAAGCTGAGAGGCAGTTAACTTGAAGTGCAAAAAAACATGCAGGAAACACATGTTTTGAAGGAAATGTTACTTGGGAAAAAGCCAATGGGTGCCATTGTTTCCATGTTCACACACTTGGGCTTTCATAAAAGCCTCAGGTGTGTGCCTCCCAAGGTCAAGGGCATGGGTTACATATAGCTGAGTATCCATACCAGGCGACAAAGTGGGATGGAGGGGCAGAGGGCAGATTACGGTGGGTCTTATGTCCTACGCCAAGGAGCTGAGGCCTTACTCTGTTTAAGTGACTGAGGGGGCAGGGCACATAAGGATTTAAGGGGGGAGCAACAAAGCTAGATTTGCATTTTAGAAAAACCACTTTGCACAAGGAGGAAGATCCTGGGGTCAGGTAGACTGGGTAGAAGCCTCTTTCAGTAACTCAGGCAAGACCTAGTATCTGATGTAGGAGGGGTGAAGAAAAAGAGGCATCCAGAGCAGTGCTGTTTAAGAGAACTTTCTAATGATGGTGGAAATGTTTTATATCGGTTCTCTGCAATACAGTAGTCTCTAGCCACATGTGGCCACTAAGCATTTGAAAAGTGGCTGGTATGACTGAGGAACTGAATTTTTAATTCAAGTTAATTTAAATAACCATATGAGGCCATTGTTGTTACTGTTGCTGTATGCCATTGAGTCGGTTCTGACTTACAGTGACCCTATGGGACAGAGCAGAACTGTCCCATACATAGGGTTTCTTGGCTACAATATTCACGGGAGCAAGAATTGCCAGGTCTTTTCTCTTGCAGAGCCGCTGATGTGTTCCAATTGCTAACCTTGCTGTTAGTGGTCAAATGCTCATCCATCGTGCCACCAGGGGTCTTTTAGTGGCTACTATATTGGACAGTGCAGCTCTACAGTCTGGATTTGGGTGGGTGATGAGGCCAAGAGATAATGGAGGGAATGACGATTAGGGACACCTTTTGGATTAGGATGGGTGGAGTGAAAGAATGAAGACCTCAAGTGAGGAGGACTTGTAAGGCTGGAGACCTGCATCTTGAGACTGCTCATGCTCGCCAGGCAGCCACCAGGTTTCCTAGGTCTACCATGCAAAGAGCAGCCTCCAGCGTTGGTAGGGGCAGGAAGAGGAGGTCTTAGATCTCTATCTGTTTCTCTGGGGTGTAAATACCTGTCCACAAGGCTGCTGCTCAGTGTAGGCCACTGTAGGCTTGCCTGCCCTGGGAGTTAGGGGAGGGAGGCCTCTGAGGACAAGCAGTCAATTTGAAACCCAAACCGTCCTGAGATTAAGTGAAACTGGAAGAGGGACAAAAATCACAGCTTGCTTCACCTCCACCTTGTCTGCTGGGTCGGGGGCTGGGCATGGCTGCCTCCAGCCACCTCCAGGGGCTTCTCAACGCTTTGTGGAGGAGGTAGAGGTGGTGGAGTGGGATGGAGGGGGGTGTTGAGGGGTGCTTTCCCTTTACCTTTAATTTATTCTTTGACCTTGGGAGCAGGCTCCCACAGCTTAAAAGCTGGGCCTTGGCCAAGGGAAACATGGCCAGGTTCCCAGGAGGAGCAACAGGAAGCTGGGAATGCCAGGATGCCGCACCTCCAGCAGTTTCTTTTCTTTTTTTTTTTTTTTTTCTTTTTAATTTTTATTGTGATGTGAGTGAAAGTTTACAGAACAAATTCATTTTCCACACAGCAGTCCATGCACATTTTGTTTCACGACATTGACTCTAGCAGTCTCCTTGTGAAGGCTTCCTCCTCCAAGCTTCCTGGTTATTCTGCGCCTGAGCACCATTCCCAAAAGGGAACACTCTAGGTGCCTCTTTTTGACATCCTTAGCTCTCATCTTGAAACCTGGAAGTTTTTCCTAGTTTTATCTCACTTCTTCGAACCCAATTTGCTTTTGCTTGCTCTGCCTTTAAACTGAAGAATCACAGAATACCCCAAGAAAACTTATAAAATAATCTCAGCCCCTCCCCAGACCCAGGTTAACCACTTCGCCCTCCCAGGAACACTCCCTTTCCTTCCTGCCTCTATTCCACCTATTCTCCACCTCCCCCCCGAAAAAAACAAACCTAACTCACTGCCACTGAGCCGATTCCAACTCACAGAGAGCCCCATTGGATTTTCAAGGCTGTAAATCTATGGAAGCAGATCACCTCATCTTTCTTCCTCAGAGCGTCTGGTGGGTTCGAACCACCAACCTTTTGGTTAGTAGCCAAATACATTAGACTGTAAATTTTTTTTTTTTTAATTGTGATTTGGGTGAAAGTTTACAGAGCAAATTCACTTTCCATACAGCAGTTCACATACACTTTGTCTCATGACATTGACTACAATGTCCCACAATGCAACAGCTCCCCTCCTACTTCCTCCCCATAGTTACTTACCTCTTCCCTGTGTCCATCCCTCCATGCACTCCTGCCCCCCAGAGCTGTCTCCCTGTGCATACACAGCCCTTCTATTCTCCCATGATTGTTCTCTCCAGGGAGTTTATCTCCCTAGTGTAAATGTTTAGCTTATATGCCTGTCCTTTGTTTGTCTGGAAGCCACAGGTGTGGGTTCAATTCCAGACCTGAAGGGCACCTAGGGGCCATAGTCTCAGTGGTTCCATCAGGCTCCATCAGACCAGCAAACTTGGTCCCTCTTTTTTTTTTTTTTCAAATGATCTTGAGTTTTGTTCCACATTGTTCTCCCACTCTATCCAGGATCTCCTACATAGATCCCCCTCTGACTGGTTGACAGTGGTAGCTGGGCACCATCTAGTTCTTCTGGTCTCACAGTCGTATAGGCTGAGGATCACACGGTGTACCAGTCGCTAAGACTAATTGTTTCCATGAATCTTTGTTTTTCTTCATTCTTCTTTGCTCTGGATGACGAGAGATCCATCGTTGCATCTAGATGGCTGCTTGCAAGCTTTTAAGATCCTAGTTACTACTTGCCAAAGTAGGAAGTGGAACAATGTTTTGTGTAGTTTGTTATGCCAATTGAGCGTGATGTCCCCTGGAACTATGGTCCTGAGCTTACTGGGTAGCTGGCTGTGACCAAGAAGTGACTACATCCTTGTCCCTTGTCAGCTCTACTATATACCTGGGAATTCCTACAGAACATAGCAATACACTCGTAGAAACGTTATCTGCCAACCCTATACATGGTCTTGGGCACACTCCCCCCCTGCATAGACATACCTAATAGTTCTGCCTCTCCACCCATCTAGCCATGTTTGAGGCTGTAAATCTTCATGGAAGCAGATCACCTCACCTTTCTTCCTCAGAACAGCTGGTGGGTTGGAACCACTGACCTTTCGGTTAGTACCAAATATATTAACAACTTATCACCAGAGCTCCTTTTATTCTGTGGTGCAGAGTGGCACAAATGGTTTGTACCTAAAGGTTGGTGGTTCAAAGAACCACAAAAGAAAAGGCCTGGTGATCCATTAAGATTATACAGCCAGGTCAAATGTATAAAGACTAAAGTTTATTAGTGGTTACTAGATGGGAGTTAACTAGTGGTTACTAGGTGGGAGGGAGGAGGAAAGGGGGAGCCACTGTTTAAGAACTGAGTGTTTATGGTAACGGGAAATATGGCAACATGGATGGTAGTTACACAACATGATTATGTTGATCTCACTAATTCCTACACCTAAAAAATGCTGAATTGGCAAATGCTGTGTTATATATATTTTACAACAATAAAAGAAAAAAAATTAAAAAAGATTACAACCAATAAAACCCTATGGAGCAGTTCTGCTCTGTAACACATAGGGTTGCCTTGAGTTGGAATCAACTTGATGCAACCACCACCAACCACCAAGAGTCAAGAATACCACAGACTATAAGCGGATTTTAGTGCCTGCATAGTGCAAATGGTAAATGCACTTGGTTGCTAACCGAAAGGTTCGGGTTGGAAGAAAGGTCTGGTGAGCTATTTCCACGATACACATGGGGTGACATGAGTTGGAGCTGACGTGATGGTAACTGGTTTTAATGTTTTTTGAGCCACAAACCCCTTTTAGTAGTCTGGCAATGCTTAATGACCTCTTCTCAGAATGTTTATAATAAAAGAAAATATATATTGGAAGTTACCAAAACATTAAAACAACCAAATGTGTGATATGTAATATAAGTGATTTCTTATTAACACATTAAATAACAAATCCTATTGGTTGATCTAATAACTAGTTTAGCTTCAAAGTAGCAATGAGCATAAATTACCTTTCAAGGTACCTGCAACAACTGAAACGTGGTAGCAAAATATCTGCTAATACTTCATGATTTGTTGTCGACATTCATAAGACATTCATAATCGGAGGAATTACTAATGGGTTTCTGAGGCGGTATCTCTATGGAAGTAGATTGCCCAGTCTTCCTTCCGAGGAATGGCTGGTGGGTTTGAACAGCCAGCTTTCTGGTTAGCAGTCAAACGCCTAAGGCACTACACTACCAGACCTCCCTTAGAAAAGGTTAGTGAAAATAAAACCGTAAGTTTTTTTTCCCATCCAAATTCACAGACCTCTAAATTCTATCTACAAACCCCAGGTTAAGAACCTCTGACATATCGTAAGCATGAGAGAAAAGTGTAGTATTTAGATTACCCTCTTAAATTCCCAAAAGTGAAAATAGAGAAAAAGGTTTTATGTTACAGAATGAAGGAGGGAGGTTACACAATAGGAACTTTCCAAGTAGAAAAGATGACCAGGAAATTTAGCAACATCTTCCTTCTGAAACTTGGGCTAAGTGAGAAGCCTCCCTTAGCTGCAGGCCCAAGTAACAAGGTGGGCAGGCATGGCAGGGCTGGAGTAGCTTCTCTGCTCTCCCAGGGGTCCACTAGCAAGAGGGAGCTGCATCTCAACCTGCAAATCCCAAGGTACTATTACGCTAGGGCCGATTCCTCTCTCTCCTCTCCCTGTTCCCTGACTCCACAACCCTCAAAATCTTAGCCAGGACCTCTTCTCCCCACCTCCTAAACAGCTGCAAAACTAGCATTGTGTTGGCCTGTGGCCTGAGGACCAGGTTCCAGCTATTTATCTCAGGGGCTCCTCTTACCCTTCAGTCTTAGGACTTTCCACAGAGACAGAATTGGAGCTTCTGTCCCTTCAGTCCAGACCCTGAGCTTGCAGAAACTCCATGAGAAAAACAAAACATGTTTCTTTGCCTGTTTAACAGCCTTCTCTGGGGGTCGGGGCAGGGTGAGAGATAGGCTCAGATCTTAGAAGGGCAAGTCCAGCTCTGGTGTACTCCCTCCCGGCTGTCTCTAGTCTTCAGGGTGAGTATCCTTCTCTTCAATAGGAGTGGGGTTCTGATCAGGGAGGGTGGGGCTTCCTGTTTCAAAGAAGAGATGAATTTGGAGATCCAAACTGGGCCAAAGGTCATGCTTTGGGGGGTGAAAGTTCCCAGTGGATTATCACATCTCCCCCAGAGTGGGCAGCTACAAGCCCTGTCCTAGCCCCCCTTTTCTACTCACTTCAGTAGCCGAGCCCTGACAACTCTGCACAGACTGAAAAATCGGTATCGATAGTGGGAAGTAGACACGAGGGATTCCTGCAGCTACAGGCCGCCAAGCCCCTCCCCGGCACCTGTGAGCCAGGGGTTGCACAAATTGGTGGCTTGAAAGGCGTCAGCCACTCCCAAGACACCACAAATACACAATCAAAATAGTAAGGTAAGGCCCCCTTCCTCCAGGGCTGCCCCACCTACATAGAGATCTCCGTAATCTAAAGCGTTTTGCAACCCAGAACAGCACAGCCCAGGGCCCGGTTTCCCAACCTGTAGAGGCCGCATGCGCGTAGCCAGGGCCGGCAAAGCCAGTAAATCCCGGCAAGCCCCAGCCTGCTCGGAATTAACGGGGACTGTGCCCCACGTCTCAGGGCTCCTCCTCGATACAGGCACCTGCGCTGCAGAATTGTGCGACCCACCCACGTCCCGGGCGCTGGAATCCAGCCAAACCGTTACGTTCCCAGAACCACCGGTTCCTCCCTCCCAGAACCCCACGGCTTCAGTTCGGGACCCCCAAGCCCACAGTGGAGCAGAGTGACGCCCTGCTTAGGAAGGAATTACAGAAAGGAGGAGATAAGCACAGGAAAACATTCAGTGGGAGCAGACCCTGGTGGGTGGCTGAGGACGCAGAGCACGGAAAGTGTGATATGCGGGTCTCTTTCGGGAAGGGGCCCCTCGGGCGCGGCCCCGAGCATCGCCCTGCGGAGCGCGATAGGCTCAGGGCCACGACCCTCCACCGCCCCCACTTCGTCCCCCGACCCCCAGCACTGCCCTTCACCCCTCCCCTTGTCCAGACCTTCATCCACGTTTCCTCCCCAGCCCCGCACCCACCCTGAACCACCTCCTCACCCACATTCCCAGGCAGTCCCCACCTCAAGACCCCCGTTCCCAAACCCACCTCCCGCGCTGCCTCCTCACCTGAAACCACCAGCGCCTCGTTGGGCCCTACCGTGTGGCAATTGCCCATGGCGCCAGTGGGACGGAGGGCCCTGGGGAAGCGCAGAGAGGTGGACAGCAGCACCCGGCCCACACCCCGCACCGCCGGCCTCGCCCAGCCTATCCCGCCACCCCCAGCGGTTGCCCGCCAGCCCGCCCGCGCCCCTCTGTGGTCGCAGCCCCGCCGGAAGTGTGGCGGCGGAAGGCGGGGCCGGCATGATGAGTGCGGAAGGAACGCACGAGCCCCGGCAGTTGACACAATTTATTTCAGGGGGTCTAGAGCCCGGGGGCCCAGCTGGCAGGCACTCGGGTGAGGCGTACTCCAACCCCCACGGGGCGCCTAGAAGAGAAATGCCCCGCCCTTCCTCACCTCCCAGCACCGACCTAACGGGCCTCAGCGTTGGCGCTAGAGTGTCTGGTTTTAAATCCCAGCCTCTATTTAGCTGTGAGACCTTACCGCTGGAGCCTGGCAGATAACTACCCAGCAAAGGGCCTAGTTCAGTAATTCTCAACGTTGGCAGTGCATCAAATCACTAATTTCTAGTCACTAATCTGGTGCCAGCGAACCCTGGGGACAGCAGTGGTTAAAGCGCTGGGCTGCTGAACGGAAAGGTGGGAGGTTCAAACCCACTAGCAAGAGAAAGATATGGCCGTATGCCTCTGTGAAGAAAACTGCCTTGGAAACTCCGTGAGGCAGTGCTACTGTCTATCTACCGGGTCACTGTGAGTTGGAATTGACTCAAGGCAACAGGTTTGGTTTGTTACTGTTTTTGGAGCTGGTCAGAATCACTGAAGGTGAAGCCAGGGAAATCTGAAATTCTTGCTACCCAAGAAGCACAGTATCTGGCACATTACCCCCACCCCCTGTCTGGGGTTATTGTCACCCAGGAGGGAGGGTTAATAATAACTCTGGGAGAGAATAATAACCCACTATTTCCTTCCTCTAGGAAAAGAGCTATCCAGGACATACCATAAGGCCCTAGAAAGTAACCATGGAGGTAAAAGTCGAAACCTCAGTGCCCAGGGCATGGCCTGGTACACAGGGTTTTCAAAGGGTTGTCAACTGCTGTAGACAGCACCTGGCCTGGGGGTTAGGAGGCTGGGGTTTGAGGCTCAGCTTTCATACGCCTTCGGTATGTGACCTTAGACAAGTCTGGTGAGCTCTGAGGGCCAGGATAGGATTCAGAAATTGTGGGCTCCTCGGGGTGGGGGCTGCTCAGAGAAGATGGGGCCTCTTGGGCCTCAGGCTTGGGATCTTCGTCATGTTCGGCTTCCTCTCCAGGCTCCAGCCCTGCCAGCTTCTTACTGGCCTCCCATAGTCGGTGGGCTGCCCGGTCGTCTCGGGCAGCTGGGGGCACCTCCTCCACATGGCAGTTGGCAAAGTATCTCCCACTGAGGGGTTCGATGCCTTCCTGTAGAGCGCAGTACAGAGGTGTCTGGGCACCCCCTCGTGGTGTCCGCAGCACCAGCCAGGCCAGTGGGCGCAGAAGTGGGCGCAGCCATCCCGGAACATGGCGCAAGAACAGCTCTGAGTTCACAGGCCCTGGGAGCAGGAAGAAAGGAATAGGGGGAAGATGGGTAAGGGCCTGGGGTAAGGGCAATAGAACAGGGCCAGAGGGCGAGTGGGGGACAGGGCCTGGTTCCAGAAAAGCCAAGGAAGTATTTATCAGTTATTCATCAGTCCCCACAAAGTGATGTCACTCATTTCTACAGGAAGCCTCCTCCCTTCCATCAGACTACTTGGACAACCTCACCTCTCAGATTTTCCTCATGCTGTGTCCCTGCCTGAAACAATTCTGTCTTACCACCTTTATCTTCTAGCTCGAGCCCTACTTTGTTTATTCAACCAGCAAACATTTATTAAGCACCTATTGGTATACCAGGGAGCTCTGGTGATGTGGTGCTTAAGGCATTTGACTACTAATCAGAAGGGTGGTAGTTCAAACCCACTAGCCACTCCTCGGAAGGAAGATTGGGCAATTTACTTCCATAGAGACGTCACCTCAGAAACACAAGGAGGGAGTCGCTATGAGTCGAAATTGACTCGACGACATTGAGTTTATTTATTTTTTTTTGGCTTATGGTGTACCAGCCATTGTTCTGAATACCAGGGATATGAGTGTAACTAAGGTTTAATACAGGTTAGTTGATTCTTATTAGGTGCCCTGGAGGTGCAGTAGCTAAAACACTCATCTGCTAACAGAAGGGTCGGTGGTTCAAACCCACAGCCCACTCTGGGGGAGAAAGATGTGGCAAACTGTTTCTGTGAAGATTTATAGCCTTGGAAACCCTATAGGGCAGTTCTACTCTTTCCTATAGGGTTGTTATGAGTTGGAATGAACAGCAATGGATTTGATTTGGTTTGTTTTTTTTGGGGTGATTATTATCATTATTATAATTATTCATGAGCCTTAGACAATGACTACACGAAATGTAGTATGGTAATATGGGTAGGACAATTCTTGTTATACCTCTGTCATCTATTCCCTGAAGGCAGGTGGATCTTATTAATCAATTTTTTACTCAGTAAAAGCTAAAAGTACTTACAAGGGACCCTAGAGGAGCCAGTCCATCTCTTTGACCGCATCTATTTGCACTCTCCCCTTCTTATTCTTGTCCAGCCACACCTACCTGATCTTCCTTAAGAATCCCAGGCACTTCTGCCTCAGGGCCTTTGCACCTGCCGTGTGCTCTGTTCAGAACACTCTTTTCCCCAGAGAGCCACATAGCCTCACTCCCTCACCTCCTTTAGGCTTCTGCTTAAATGTCACCTTTTCAGATATGTCTTCCTTGACCACCATGGATAAAATATAGCATGCCTGCCATATCCCCTGACATTCTATATTCCCCTTATCCTGTTTTATGTTTCCCCATATCACTTTATCACCACCTGTCCTTGTACAAAGGAGCTCTGGTGGTGTAGTGCTTAAAGCATTAGACTGCTAACCAGAAGGCTGGCGGTTCAAACTCACCAGCCACTCCTCAGAAGGAAGGTTAGGCAATCTACTTCTGTGGAGATACTGCCTTGAAAACCCAAGGAGGGGTCACTGTGAGTCGGATCCAACTCGATGGCAGTGTGTTTGGTTTGATCCTTGTATATACTTATTCATTCATTTGTCTCGTCCTTCACACTGGAATATAAACTTTGTATAAGGTCTTTGTTTTGTTCACTGCTATGTCCCCAGTACTGAGCATAATGCATGGTACCTAGTAGGTCCTCAGTAAATGCTTTTTTAATGAATTAATGATTGTTAGCTTTCATCATCAATATTACTTCAGTAAGTATGGATAGCTCTTTGGGGGCAAAGACCTGAGTTTTATTCGTTGCCATACCCAACCTATGGTGAGCATCCAAACTTGTGAGAGGAAGATCCTAGACTAGGAGACCTTGGCTCCAAGATTAGCAGAGGGGCAAGCCTTTCCTTGGGACTTGTTTCCTTCTTGTTCTGAGATTCTGTGGCTCAGGAAGAAGCTGGGGGAGCATGGGATGGGACAAGGACAGGAGAGGGGGAATCAGAAACAACCAAGGAGGTAGGCCTCACCTGGGTGAGCTGCGTAGCAGGTGATGCCAGTGCCTTCAAGCTGAGTGGCAAGCTCCCGGACAAACAATACATTGGCCAGCTTACTGTCAGCATATGCCCGCAGCTCTTGCTGCCAGCCCACCACAGGGCGGTTTAGATGGGTAAAGTCGAGGTGTCCACGTCGATGGGCAGCTGAGGACACCACCACCACACGACTGGGAGCGCATGTTTTCAGCTGGGACAGCAGCAGCTGTGTCAGCAGGAATGGACCGACGTGGTTCACCCGCAGCAGCAGGTTAAAGGGCTCACGTGTCCGGCCACAGGAACTGATCCCTGGGGCAGGGGCTAGGCATGAGCAATTGCTCTGGAGGGAGCCCTGAAGGCCTCAGTGTCCCCATCTGTGAGATGGGAGTTGAGGGTGTCCTTCCCATGTGAGCTCTGGCCCCTGGCCACCCACTGCCCCCCTGCAGGGCTTGCTGCCCCTCACCGGCATTGTGAATGAGGATGTCCAGCCGTGGCTCCGAGCTCAGGAAGGCAGTGGCAAAGGCTCGCACAGAGGCCAGATTGGCCAAGTCCAAAGCCATGAAGATAACCTCGTTGTTCCCACTTTCCTGTGGAGTGGCAAGGGCTAGGCTTGTCACTGGGCACCCCCCTCTTCTTCCCTCTCCCCAGGCCCCAAATTCTGAGACTCCACCTCCTCCTATTACTAAAATATGCCGCTATGCATTAGAGTGCAGTAGATAAATATGTGGGCTCTGGATGCAAATTTTGGCTTTGCCTCTTACTGGAATGTGACCTTAGGCAAAATACTTAATCTCCCTGGGTCTCAATTTTCTCACTGAAAAATGGGAATAATAATAGTTTATAGAGTTGTTGTGAGGATTAAATGAGTTAATATATGTAAAGTACTTAGAACAGGGCCTGGCACACAGCACTGAGTAGAAACTTACAGCTATTATTATCACCCCATTACTGCCCATCCTAAAATTTGCAACAGACTTTTCATTGTTCTCCGTCTTATCCATTCTTGCCCCCTCAAATTCATACACCACACAGCCACCAAGGGATTGGTTCCAAAAAGCTATTGTGACTTGGTCCAGATCTTGAAGAGGCTACTTCACTTGTACCCCACTGTTCATCCTATAGAATCCAAGCTCCTCACTAGCATCTATCAGGGCCACCAGAGCCTGGCCCTGGCTCAGAGCCTTCAGTATTTCATTTGCCCTCTTCCCCACACTGTGCGCTTCAAACTCACTAAACATTTTCAGTTTCTCTAATCAGACCTGTTTTGCCTCAGGGCCTTTGCAGGTGCTGTTCCCTCCTCCACTGTCCTCAATTAACTCCTACTGATTCTTAGAACAGCAATCACTTCCTCCAGGAACTCCTACTCACCCCCATTTGAGTCTGATGTCCCTTCTCTGTGTGACCACAGCACCTTGGGCACCCCCGTTTTGTGCACTTAATGAGCCAAGCTGCGCTCTCCTCTCACAGACTGGGTCCCCTGGAGCCACTCTGTTCCCTCCTCTAGGTCCCGATAGGTGCTAGGCTCACTGTCCCAGTCACCCCCATACTCACTCACCTGGCGGAGGTCGAAGGCGGCCGCCTCACCGCGCTCCCGGCTGCGGCAGGCCAACACCACGCGCGCTCCCCGGCGCGCCAGCTCCAGCGCCGTCATCTTCCCGATGCCGCTGTTGGCGCCTGCGGATGGCGGGCGGGAACCGGGTTGAGCTGGGCGGGCCGCCCCTGCAGCCCCGGTCGCCCACCCGCCCGCCCGCCCTCACCAGTGACCACAGCCGTGCGGCCTCGCAGGCTGGCGATGCCGCCGCACGGCGGGGCCTTCACTAGGTTGTAGTAGACCAGCACGTAGGCACCCAGCAGCAACCCGGCGCCCAGTAGCAGCGCTTCCATGCCGGCTGCGCTTGCAGGCTCCCGCCCAGGCCCTGCGCCACCCTGGGTCGCCACCCGGAGGCCGCCGATTCGCCCAGCTCAGGCCTGGAAGGGGGCCTCTGGGAGGCCAAGGAGGGAGGGAAGGCTAGGAAGGGGTGTGTGCGCGCGTGTGCGTGTGGCCCTGCGAGCGCCCCCTAGGCGTTCATCTGCATTCTTTGGTGTTTGCCGTGTGAACTAGGTGTGTACATATATCTGCATCATCTGTGTCTGTGAATGACTTCTAAGCGTGCATGTGCCTGGGGACCCTGTGATCACGCTTCCAAGTTGTGTGCATGTCTGACTTCTGTGTGTGCAAGGGCGGATTACCCAATAAACAAGGTAAGTACGGGTTTACTTCTGCTTACGAATCTGTAGTGAACAATTTCACATTTCTTCGCATCAAAGATTCTGCTTTTAGGTATGGCTAGCATTTGTCTCTCTGCCAACCCCACAGCACCTTCCTACAGAATAAAGCCTTTACAAATTTACAATCCCTGACAAGGATGGAGTACCCAGTAAGCAAGGATTTACTTGTGCTTACTTAAAAATCTATAGTGAAGTTTCACCTGTGAAACTGCTCACTACCAATTCATAAGCAAGCACAAGTAAGCCCATGCTTACCTTTGTTTGTGTGAATACCTTGTAGGTGTCCAGGTGCTCGTGGATCCTGGGAGTGCTCCCTGTGTGTGCCAATGTGAGCACCTTCTAGGTGTGTGTGTGTGCTTTTGTAGTACCTGGCAAGGTGTGTTTGAATGAACATCTCAGTATGTATCTGTCCACTGCATGTGTACCTGTGCACATGCCCTCTATCTGAGGGCTTGTAATGTTTCTTGTGAAGAGGAGCTAACAGGTGTGAGTCTTCTAGATGTGAGTACAAAGCAGAATCCTTGCCGTCTGAATTTGTGTGTATGAAGGCTCTTGTGTTTCTGAGAGAATGAATCCAATCTTGAGCCCCTTTTCCTCAATAAACAAACCCTCAGCTGCTTATCCTCACATCTAGCCCTCCGCTGCTTCTAGGATGCTTCCCTTGGAGGCCAGAGAGAAGCGGTATGTGCAATGTTGCATCATCAATTAAAGGTTGTTAGGATTCTCTTGTCTGTATCTCCCTGCCTCCATAGTCTCCCTCCTGTTTCTCTAGGGAAGCAGGGAGAGTAAAATCTGTAATTTGCCCTGCAGAAGGAAAGTTCTTATAGGTTGTAGAAGAAAGGAAGCTCCATCATTCAGTTGAAGTAACTGTGATGGTGAGGTGGGCAGGGAAGCTAGGAAGGCACAGGTAAGGGCACACCTGGTCAGGTCAGGTGACTTGCCAGGAGGGGAAGCAAGGACAAGAAATGCAGTACAATTTAGCACGTTGTTTGGCACTTAGGGTGTTGTCCAGTAGTGTGGTTAGTCTTGGAAATACCAGGTGGCACAATATATGTGCAGTTCCTGCCTTTGGAGAGTTCAAGAGACCCAGAAGGCCAAGGGAACAGAATGTGGAGACAGCTAGGTGGGTGGAACAAAGCCAGAAGCAGATTTTAGATTCCATGGGAAGTTTCTGACTAATCTGTACTATGGATTCAGAGTTCAATTGTAGATGCTCTGGGATGATGCTGGGGATGGAATATTCATGAAATAAATGGATGCATTTCCCATCCCCGAGGCAAAACCCTGATACAGCAACAGGTACCACCCATTCACCTGTCCTGGGATACACACCAGTGCTCTTAATCTAAGGTATAGGGGAGACTGTGCTCAGGAAAAAACCTTCAAGAAAGTTCCTCATTTAAGGCCTGGGAGAAGGGATGGAGTTTGATATGTGAGGGTTCCCAGGGCTTTAGGATAAAGTACTGTGTAGACTCACCTCCTGATGAGGAACTGCAGTTGTAGAGAAGTTGTCAGTGTAAATCGCACAAGCTACAGGTGACATGGCTCAATCTAGAGATGGGATTTCCCACTTTTTTCATGATGATTCCAACATATTTGAATCACTAAATTGCTCAGCACTAGAGACTTAAGCTCTAAGAGGCAAGGGCCATTTGTCTTGTTGATTGCTGTACCTAGCACAGGCCTGGCACAGAGGTGGGACTCAGTGGTACTTGAATACATGAATGAATTGTTCAATGTCCACCTAAGCTTTGTGTGTGTGTGTGTGTAAGCAAAAACCAGGTGTTTAGAATTAAAGAGATAAATATGATAGCAAACACATAAAATTAAAAGCAGCCTCAACTTCTTAGGTTAATGTTTCTAGACTAGAAAGCAAGGTCTTGAACTAGCTTCAGTTTAGTGTCTCAGTTTTACAGCCAAGTGCAGGGACTCTCATCCCTAGGAACCTACACTCTTGAACTCATACAGAATCTGATCGTGACAAATGACCAAACCCTCTAAACTCTCAAGTGCACCCTACCCTTCCATTTTGACCCACCCCGCTTTAGGCTCCTTTTCTCCAATACTTCTCCTCTCGTATTTCCCTTGGGCACTGAGTATCTGGGAATGTGACTTGGTCCTGTGGAACTAGGATCTAAGGAAGGGTCCCCTTTAGGCATGATGACAGGTAGGACAGACAGGCAGAAAACATAATTTGAAGTATTTTTGTTTTTTTATATACAGAATACAGGAAAGTTTCTGTAAAGTCTAAAACATTACAATTACTATGTACATTGGTACTAGTTGTTGGGGTAGGAGGAGAGAAGGGAGCCAGGGACGGGAGGAAGAGAAGTGGCAAGAGAACAAAAAAAGGAGACAAAACAGGTTTACGACAAAAACGTTTTTGCTACAATAGACAATTTGAAGAAAACGCTCTACCACATGTAGTACTGTACACAGTTTTTAAAAACATTGAAAAAAATGTCATCACTAGATGTATTTACACAAAATCCAAATACACTTTTCCTTATTTGAACTAAAATAGATGGACAGCCAGAAAAAGAATTCATTTCTCATTTGTCCATAATACACAGTAGCTACCTGTAGTGCAACCGCTGCAGAAAGGGAAAATAACTTGAAGGGTGGGAACCATGGAAGGAGGGTGGGTAGCGATCTTTATATTAAATAAAACAATGATATTGTATAGATTTTGCTGTATGAAAACTGTATTTTTTTCTTTTAATATAAAACTATTGTCACTGCCACAAAATAGAACAAGTTTCTGATTATTTTACAACGGCGGGGCGGGCAGGTGAGTAAGAGGGAGCAGGAGGTGGGTGGAAGGGTTTCTGTGTTGGAGGAAGTGTCCAGACCATCGGCCTCCCCTCCCTACCCTCACTGTTCCTCAGCTCAGGTCTGCCGCTTTCCCATGAAATGTTGAGTACAAATATATGTGCAAATGCCCCTTAGAACTTGAGAAAAGAAAAAGGATTTTTAAAAAACAGTCAAAAGGATTTCTTCATTTCATGCAAAGATTGTAGTTGAAGGGTTTCTGGTGGAGTATAAAAAAAACCCGGGCTTGGTTTGTGTACATTTTTGCATTGCAGGAGTCTTGGGTTGGGTGGACAGGTAGGTGGCGGGGTAGCCACCAGCCCTAGGGAATGGAGTTGGAACGCAGCACAGGGCCCTGGTGGGGCTTGAGGGAGAGCTTCTCCGCCAAGACTCCATCCTGCAGCAGGCAGGCATCGCCTTTGGGCTGTTTGGTTGCAAATTCAGTGATGCTGAAGACAAACTGCAGACACCCCAGCTTGATGTAGCTGCCATGGTGCAGTAAGGCCGTGCCCTCCCAGCCGGCTCCACTGCCCCCAATCAAGCTCGAGCTGCTGGCTTTGCAGTTGCAGGGTTTCTGATGTGGCCCCTGGGCTTGGGAGCTCATCATGGCTGCCTCCTCACTTGGCTCTTCATCCTGTTTCTGGTGCCGGTGGCGCCCTGGGAAAAAGGGGATGGTCACAGGGGAGGAAGCATGAGCACCCAACCCCTCTGGGCCATTTGCCAGGCTGGGCCCCATATCTCCCGGACTCTAACTGCTGCATGGCTAGGGTAAGGGATGCTCAGAAAGGGCTAGTAGGGCCAAAAGTCCCCAAGTAGGTGTGTATACTTATGTGGGTGCTTCTCCATGGCCTTCCCTGGGCCCCATGGGCAAGGACAGCTTGGCTAACAGGAGTGAGAAAGCAAGAAAAGAGCCAAGAGCCAGCAGGTCATCTGCAGCAAGCCAGAACCATACTGACTAGGGCTTTAGAGAATATGTCAAAAAGTGGCTGGACACTTTGCTCCAACTTACTGATGACACTCTGCACTTTGGCAACAATACTGCTTGGGGGGGTTGGCGGGGTCTTCTCAGAGAAGTCACATGAATACAGCACATTGTCCACCGTTGTCCCGTGCTCACTGTAGTTTAACAGCTCATAATGTTTGGTATTCTGAGGAGGAGGAGGGAAGATAAGATGTGTGGTCTGCTGCCTGGGGCTAAGGGGAGAGAGGACATACGGAGAACATACGGAGAAGACTGTGCTGTTCTACCAAGGGAACTCTGCTCCCCTCCCTCACCATTCAGGAAGGGGCTGAAGACTCACCTCCTCTAGGAAGCCTTCCTTCCTAGCACCCCACACCCCCTGCACTCCCACAGCTCCTCTACTGTCTCCTTAGCATTGGCTCCTGTTGGTGTGACGGTCTGGCACATGACACATGATAAAGAAGGCCCCAGGCCCATAACAAACTCAGAGGGACACATCCAGAGGGCTTGGCCTCTCTCTCTGTTGGTCCCCTGCTCTGCTTTCAGCCAACCTCAGGAGAAATGAGAACACATTTGAAACACATTTCTCTGTGTTTTAGGAGAACTCAGGAGAAATGGTAGCCTTGTTCCTGGGGGGCAGGTAGGTCACTGTAGGATGCCCTTTTACACCCAAACTCTTCTCCTCCAGGAAATATAGGGAGGAAAGAAAAGGAGAGAATCCCCAACCCCCTACCCTCACCCCAGTGCACTGAACAAAAGACCCCGTGCCTGGGAGAGGCCTCAGGTTGGGAGAGCTCCCTCCCACCCCATCCCCACCCCTCACCTCATCGTAGAATATGCAGGC